AATTTAATTCTAATTCTAATTTAATTCTAATTAAATCAAATACAGTTGATATGAATGCAATATTTAATTTCTCCCTTCTGTCATATCAAAAATTGCAGAAAGCAATTTCTTTCTGTCCTGTTCCTCTCCATTTCTTTATCTCTGCCCCATCTGCTTTATGTAGTCTGGCCCTCACCCCACCACAAGAAGGGTAAATATATTCCTATGTGCAAAGGAAGTAATGCATCCTGAATTTTATTTATTTAAAATAGTTATAAACTGCCTGTTCCTTACTCCAGGAAGTATGCAGAATTTAACATTTCCACATACTGAAACATAATAATATAAAACACATAAAATAAAACAGTACACTACATCATAAGACAGTGGTTGTACTCTGAGAAGCTGATCCATCATGGGCTTTTCAATGCCAAGGAGAATATAAAGATTTTCCAAAATACCTTATAAATGTTTTACCTGAACAATGAACAAGGTTTTGCTCTTCCATACTGTATAAAATTAAGGCCCACTTATGTTCACCTGAACCAGCTTTTGCAGCACGTAATAGCGGATCAAACGAGATATTATTTATGTGCTGTTTTATTTTCTTTGCAGCTGAATTCTTCCCCAAAATGTATCATATTTGTTTCTTCCTGATAACTTATCTGGCCCCGCTGTGTCTTATGGTGCTGGCCTACTTACAGATATTTCAAAAGTTGTGGTGTCAACAGGTGAGTTCTTTTGCTACAAAATCCATCTTTAGGACTTATGTCAGCTAAACTTCTCAACCTCAGAATTATGTATTTGATTGACAGGTACAGTGGTACAGAATGAAATAACAAATTATCCTTGGCAATGCAATATTTCAGGAAATGTTGCACCATCCAAACATATGAAGCAATCTAGCAAAAATAAATAATTGCACGTCCCTAATCAACACACCCTTCGTTTACAAATTTGATGTTAAAACTAAAAAGCTGCAATGCTGTACATCCTGCTAGGATTTTTTTTTCTTCTGTGTTTCCGTATTTCTTAAGTTATGTCTAAATGAAGGGATAAGGAAAGAAACTGAAAAATAACTTTAAATAAAGAAAGTTGTCATGAATATTTCCAAAACACATTTCCGCAGCATTTATAGAACATAACATTTACTTTTTTCTGTAGCATTAAGCAAGGGTTGTTACTACTTTCATTCATGGAAAAGACAGACATTTGATTTTTGAATGTAGTAGCTGCAGTGAACGTGCTATTATATTAAGAGAACTAAACACAATAGCACTTAATATTTGCTATGATTTGTTCTAATTATCTCAATGATGTTGAGATGGCAGACATACCGTATTTGACTGTTAGAATAATTTACCATCATTATGTATTCCCCCCACCCATAGGGTTAGAGCACCTCAAGAGAATCAGTGATTTAGCAAGTAATCCTTATATTTGCCAACCTGTTCTTTCTAATATGTAAACATAAAATGATTTCCACATCTTCAGCATATATGTCTTCAAAACAGATTGGAGATTTTTTGGCTTGTTTAGAATGTACCCCCCAAAATCTTATCTTATTTGCTTTGACTTTTGACCACTCATACAGTACATCAAGTATTTTAGAAATGTGATGTATCTATATATTTTTTTTAATTTGTTGTTTTAATATAAGAGAGAGAAGGAACAAAGGAAAAAAAACATAATAACAAAAATAACAAACAAGAAAAGAAGAAAGAATAACAGAAATATTATTTTAAAGATTGTGCCCAAAGTTTAAACCTTTTATTAGCCCTTGAGTACATGGAATAATAATGATTAGTTTTTCCATTATAATTATCAAGAGCCAGTTTATAAACAGAGAGCAAATATATCTTGTCAACCCAAGATTTTAAATCTGGGGTTGTTCTATCTTTCCCATGTAGAACAGCAATCTTTTTTTGCTGCTTCCCATGCTGAATCCATAGTTCTTCCTATAGAGATAAATTCCAAATTTGTGGTATTTAATTCTAAAGTACATTCACATCTTTACCCTGTACTAAACGTTGTAACTATTGTGGAAACATACTGATTCTAAGAAAATGGGTTTAGATTTAAATACAATTATTTTCCCAGGACATCTTCCATTTTAATCATAGAAAGATGATTACACTGAAACTTCTCTGTGATTGTGTAGCTATGCTCATGGGTAGAAGCAGATCTGCTTCACAACTGCAGCTGGTTAATCAGTGCAATTTTTCCCTTGGGCTAAATTCCAATAATTAAGGTTCCAATTGTTATGTGCTGTTAGATTCCAGGAACGTCATCTGGAGTTCAGAGGAAATGGAAGCCTCTGCAATCAACAGCACAAATCCGGGGACTGGGGCCACCAGCACATTTGAGGATTAGTGCGGCGGCAGCTGAAATCAAACAGATTAAAACCAGGAGGAAAACAGCACGGATGCTCATGGTGGTTCTTTTGGTTTTTGCCTTCTGCTATCTCCCCATTAGCATTCTCAACATCTTGAAAAGGTAACTTCCATGTGCAAAGACTTGGGACACCAAAATAAATAGCTTGGACATCTGTTAGGGACATGTCAATATTTAACAATACCTTGGTGAGGGCTGATTTTCAGTGGGAGTCCAATATGTTTAACTTTCCTTCCCAGTGGTGATCAGAATGAAAATCAACCTCTGGGTGCCCACAAGCATTGGGGTAGGAAAAAGTTTCCATGGGTGCTAAGGGGATCTTTTTTCATACATGGTCATGACTCTTTCCCAGGTCGTTCCAAGGAATATTCACCCCACACACCTTTTAATTAATGGACTGGTTTTAAAGTTAAAAAAAAAATTAAAGTAAAAAAATTCTTGTGCTTTTAAATGTTTTAATATGTTGGGCTCTGAAAGAGGCAACATTGGAAGCAATGTAGGAAGGAGCAATCAAAAGACTGCCAGATACACTTACTGACACTAGAGGGCCCATCAGCCTATGGACTCAGGTGAGCCCATATGGTCTGGGCAAGTAGAAAATATTGCTGAACCAGGAAACTTCATATTGTTCCAGCGAGGAGCCCGTTTCAAAGTCTGAGGACAGTATAAGCAACAAGATCTCACACTGCCCAAAAGTATCAGCATAATTGCTATTCCTATGGAATTCTGCTTGGTTAGAACTCATCAGTAGAAGCTGGCAAGTAGAACATTTTTACAGGCATCAAGGCCAACAAAGAATGTAATCGTTTTCCTTATAGTCCTCCAGATATGTCAGGCTTCATCTCCTCCATCTCCTCTCAGTAGTCTGGGTAGGAGTGATGGGAGTTGAGGTTCAACACATCTGGAGGGCAGTAAATTGGAGAATGTGGCATACAGCATTCAAGGCAAGAGAATTCTTAGCTTGAGGGTTTCAGTTCTTCTGGGTTAGGGTTCAGATTAGGGTTAGGCTGCCATTGCAGAGTTAATGCTAATCCTTCCCAAGAATGTTACTGTTTTCATCAGGATTAGTGACCTGAATTCAAGATTCAATACTGCTAAAGAAATCAGATTAAATCGCAGTTTAGAGAAGTATGCATATTGAATGCCATGTGTCTGCTGAATGGGACTGTGACTTTATAATGGGATGCATTGATGAAAAGGTGTTCCTAGTTAGCATTTGGAATGTACACAACCTGGCAACATGTTGTACATTATAATACTGTTATGAAAGAGAGCTGTAACAGGGACACTGATAATTTCTCAGTGCAGAAATCATTCTCAGTTTAGAGCACCCTTTCTTAATGGCATGGATGGAAGAGAATAATGGAAAAGGCCTCTGTATATAATTTTAAAGGTCAGGCTGGCTTGGGAGAGATGTATTCTTGCAATTATGAGAAAAGGTATGAGTAGTCCCCCATCAGATATTCACAGAAGCAGCAGTTGGGAGTCAGTGGGCAGCATAAATCCCGCCATTTCTGTACATTTAAAAGTTCATTATTATAGTGTCTGGCTAGAATCTGTACACTTAGGTCTGCTGGAGAAATCAGACATGCATGCGGTTCCTCATTCAGCTAAGATACATCTGGTTATGTGTGAGCCTTGGTTGGGCCAAGGCATATCCAATCAATGTGACAGGTGTATAAAAGAGGGTAATCTGTAGAGAAGACCCCACAACTTCATGTTTCTATAGTTACAACACCACTGCACTCATCTGGAATTCTGAATTTTGACCCATATACCATGTAAATATCTTACATGTTTACAAACATCAAAGATAATATGATATATTTTCTAATTCTGAAATTTTTTCTCCCTCTTTTTGTAAGAGTTTTTGGGATGTTCAACAATGCTGAAGATCGAGAAACTGTATATGCTTGGTTTACTTTCTCCCACTGGCTTGTATATGCAAATAGTGCAGCAAACCCAATTATTTATAACTTTCTTAGTGGTAAGTTGATTACTTATGTCTTTTTATCATGGTAAAAAGCGATAGAGCTAAAGAATTAATACAATATATTTGATGTTATGTAAACTACTTTGCTGTACTTATGGTATTTTAAAAGGGAAAGATACTCTTATTACTGTTATATAGAGGGAGGAACAGAGATTGAGAGAAAATGCATTATTCAAGCAATCCCATAAACAGATCTAGAATTTGAATATACATGGTTTAAGATATATACATTTTATTTCAATATCAAACAGATTTTTTATTTCTAATTCAGAATTCAAAATCCATAGCCAAATTTTTCTTAGTTGCAATCACAAGCAAAACAAATAATGGACATATTTCAATCCAACATATTGTAACAGAAGATCTGGCTGATATG